TCATAGACGGTGGGGCTCTCCCACTTATCAAGCAATTCCTCCTCTTGTATCCAATCTTCCTCAATATAGCAACTAATATTACAACTTAAGTTCGTAGACCTAGTCACTGTCCATCCTAAATCCCAAATCACTTCAAACTTTCCTCAAGCCGTGTAGTTATCCTACCACGTAACTCATATGCTACCTTGCCACTCTTCTTTAAGCAACTACTCGACTTTTGTTTCTCACACTTGGCCTCCTACGAACTTAACCACCACAAGACACCTTCCACATGTCCTTTCTTATCCTTGCTGCCTAGTTGTTGCCTTACTAAAAATCTGTCTCTGTAGCACTTGAACCAATAGCTCATTACCACCGTTAAACCTTTCTGATGATCATCCTTCTCGAGACATCAATACTACTGCACACCGCGATCTCTAACGACTGATTCTCCTATACCAATCCCTAACACCCCTTCGTGAAGGCGTGTTGAAGAAAACCATAACACCGGCGAACCTTAATGCATTGTAGAAGGCGATGACACCACATCAAAATTGAGAATTCTACCACACTCGAAAATATCAAGCTTTGTTACTCCACCAACCCCAAACCTGAACATTCATAGTCCGATTGCCTTTTCTCCGCTGGAATTAAAACATGGAACCTATGAATCATGTACTGAGAAAAAAAAAACCTTCTTTCAAGTCGTTTACTGCCCTGACACATAGACAGGCATTCTACCATTACATAAATACTATGCAATAACAACGTATGAATCGTCATAATAATCAATGCCAAATCTCAAAACCTTAGGTAGTATTGATACTGAACTGAAATGATAGAGCGGCCTTTCGCAAGGCGACGACAATAACCCAATTAATTACACAGGGAGAAGCATCATGTACTACATTAGTAGTACCATTAAATATTTCCTCGATCCCCAATTTATAACAAGCGCTTCATGTCGCATAAGATTGAGTAGGAAGGAAATGAAGGCATAAGCCTCAAAGGAATCAAATTGCACAATGAGAAATAAAAAAAAAAGGGAAGTATTCCTAACAGCATTGTTACCTCTCGAAGATAAGTACAGACGTCTCCGTACCGATCCGCAAGACTCTGCTAGACTTGCTCATGACTCGTGAGACCTAAGTGAACCTAGTGTTCGGATACCATGTTGTCACGCCCCAAAATTCATTAAGGTCGTGATGGCATCGGAAATCGCTGCCAAGCAAGCCAACAATACAAACTTCACTTAATTACCCATTTTAGTATTTTTGAAATCAAAATTTCTTCAATGAATTAATAAATATAAAACTCATAGAGTAAATAATAAATATTTTTAGCAACTAAATTTTTAAACAATTCACAACCATTCCCAAAATCCGGTGACACAAGTGCATGAGCATTTACTAGGGAATTAAAAATAAAATACAGCATCTGTCTAGAATACAAATTAGACAGAAAAAATATAATAACCCTGAAGGAGACTCTGTTGGCTGCGGATCGTAATACAGAATGCAACTCACATATATCCCCACAATTATTAACTACACCTCTGCGCCCACAAGGCCACTAGACATATATGTACATGCATAATAAAATGTGCAGCAAGTGCAGTATGAGTACGGAAACAATATGTACCCAGTAAGTATCAAGCCTAATCTCGAAGAGGTAGAGACGAGATGGCCGACTTTGACACTCACTATGGGTCAATAATATTAAATAATCATGAAATAGAAATATTTATATCAACGTGATTCACAGAGTTAACAGTAATTTTATTGACCAGTAGAAATAATTAAATTCCTTCAAATGCAATAATTCTCAATATATTAATTAAATTCCTTCAATTCCAATAAATTTCCAAATTTATCAATTAGTCTCATTTACAGGAATAACAATAATTCTTAACAAGCAGGAATAATAATTTAGTAAATTCCAATGATTTCCAATTTATCAATTAGCTCACAAGCTGCAATAAACTATTAAGGTAACGTGTGATTATTATTATTAAGCACGATTTCTGTCGAGGACGTACGGCCCGATCCAGAGTGTCGTGTACACTGCCGAGGGACGTGCGGCACGATCCATAGATGCATCTATCCTGCCGAGGCGTTCGGCCCGCTCCACAAGAAAGGAAGACATTTTCTTATGTACCTCCGCAAGGAGAGTATATTTATTATAAGATAAATTCGGGAGGAGAATAATTTCTTTTAACAATTAATTAATTTAAACAGAAAATCAAGCATATGAGATTTCCATCCTTTAATATCTTTATCTAACAATTCACAATATATTCATATATATCAATTAATATTAATTAATCAAGGAATACAATTTACACAGTAATTCATGCTTTGAGTCCTAAACTACCCGGACTTTAGCATTTATAGTAGCTACGCACGGACTCTCGTCACATCGTGTGTACGTAGCCTCTGCAATTAGCAATAATTATTCAATTTAATCCCTATGGGGTCATTTCCCCCTCACAAGATTAGACAAGAGACCTACCTCGTCTCAAAGTCCACTTTTCGATTACCACGTCGCGTTGAATTCTTGATTCGACGCCGAAATATCCGAAACTATCCAAATATTATACACAATAATTAATATATGCTAAATTATTCGAAATTTATCTATTAAATAAATTACCTTATCCAAAATAGTAAAATTCCTAAAATTCACCCAGGGCCCACGTGCTCGAATTCTAAAAATATTTAGATGAAAACGTTACCCGTAATCTTTGGAACATAAATATATGATTTTTACTAAGTTCCATAACAAATTTCGTGGTTAAATCTCATTTTTGTCAAACACCTAGGTTATCACCTAAATCCATGGTTTTCACTAATTTACATGTTATAATATACCAATAATCTATGTATGTAACTCATGTTATGTAGGAATTACTTACCTCAAAGTGCTAGGTGAAAACCCTCTTCCAAAAGCTCCAAGAATCGCCCAAGAGATGAAAGAAAAGTGAGATATATGTCCTAAGTCGCGCATTAAATGAGCTGGGCACAGGCCTCTGATGTCGCATTTGCGACACCAGGTTTGCAAATGCGATGGTCACAAATGCGACACAACTCTCGCAAATGCGAAGCTTGGCCTTCAGCTGCTGGGGTCGCAAATGCGACCAAAGAGTCGCAAATGCGAACTCTGCTGGGATCGCAAATGCATCAAATGTGTCGCAAATGGGAACACTGCCTAGGTCGGGCTTCTTCGCAATTGCGAAGCCCTTCTCGCAAATGCGAGGTTCGCATTTGCGAATAATTTCTCGCATTTGCGAGACCTGCAACTGCTGCCAAGAAACACCAGATATCAGCTGCCTCAACTCTTCTTCAAATTCCAACTTCGATCCGTTAACCACCCGGAATCCACTCGAGGCCCTCGGGACCTCAACCAAATATACCAACAAGTTCTACAATATCATACGAACTTATTTGAAACCTCAAATCTCATAAAACGATGCTAAAGCCACGAATTATGCTCCAATTCAAGCTTAATGAAACTTAAAATTTTCAACTTCTACATTTGATGTCGAAACCTATCAAATCAACTCCGATTGACCTCAAATTTTGCACACAAGTCATAAATGATATAACAGAGCTATAAAAAATTTCGGAACTGTATTCCGACTCCGGTATCAAAAAGTCAACTCCCCGGTCAAACTTCCAAACTTAAATTCTTGTTTTAGCCATTTCAAGCCTAATTTCACTACGGACTTCCAAATAAAATTTCGATCACGCTTCTAAGTCTAAAATCACCATACAGAGCTGTTGGAATCATCAAAATTCTATTCCGGGGTCGTTTGCACATAATTCGACATCCGGTCACTATTTGAACTTAAAGTTTTTTTAATTGTTTCATCAAAATTCCATATCTCGGGTTAGGGACCTCGGAATTTGATTTCGGGCATATGCCCAAGTCCCAAATCACGATACGGACCTATCGAAACTGTCAAAATACTGATTTGAGTCCGTTTGCCTAAAATATTGACCAAAGTCAAACTTGGCCTTTTAAAGCCAACTTAAGGAACCAAGTGTTCCGATTTCAACCCAAACACTTCCAAATCCCGAACCAACTATCCCCACAAGTCATAAATCATTAAAGTACATACGAAAAGTTTTATTTAAGGGAACGAGGTTCTAAAAGTCAACACGACTGGTTGGGTCGTTACAGGAGAAGAATAAAATAAATACTCTTGTGAAATTTGAACATGATTTATGTGGTAATGTTTGATTATGCGAGGTTTATAACTTGTTTGGATAATAGTTACATATCGTTTCATAATGTATCGTATTGTATTGTACTGTATTGTTTGATGAATATAATGTTTGGAACTTTGGATAGATTGTATCGTTTGCTGTTGTTTCATGATATCACGCACCAGCAATATGAAAAATAGACTTGCGATATTATAAAGAAAAATTGTGATACGGGGTAAATTTATTATATAAAAATGTAGGGTAAATGATAAAATAAAATTATTTAATAATAATAAAGGGTGAGATGAGAGAAAAAGAGAAGATAACGACGCAACCATACCAAATCGGTTGTTGCATAAAGTGACACATTTTGTCGTTACGTAACGACGAATTTAACGATACGATACAATAAAATTCAAGTAACAACCAAAACAAACATTGTATTTAAAATAACAATACGATACACTACAATAAGTAACAACTATCCAAACAAGCTGTTAAAAAAAAAATAAAAGACTTTAAGAACTTATAAGTTAAAATCAATGATAGACAGTTATGCAAGTATAAACCATCTCATTAAAAATAAAATAAAAAATTTAAAATTAGAATTAATTTTATTTTAAATATAAAAAATATTTTTTTTTTGAGACAAACAAAAATAATAATATTATGCCATGTAAAAAGGGACAGAACATGTGGAGCAGTCGGAAAAATTATTTTCAAGTTATAAAAAGCATTTTTTTTTTCTTTTTTCAACAAGTTATAAAAGCAGTTAAATAAGTCAAATCTCTGTAACTAAAAGGAATAAAATGAAAAATTATCTAATCCAGACGCCATTGTACAGAACTGAAAATAGAAAAGGACTGAAAAAATTATAGCAATGGAAGCATTGGTGGAGCTGGAAAAAATCCAGACCCGAATCCTCGAACGGATAAAAATCCTGGAGCACTCTCTTATTCCTTCCAATTCCTCTCCAAATCTCTCTCTAGAAACTTCCAACAAGTCCTCCACCGCCGCCGATCCTTTTCTCTCCGCCTCCGGCACCACCGCTTCCGCCACCGAAGACCACCTTTCAAGCATTCTCGTCGTCAATGGCGTTAGAGAGTTCAGCTTCAAGCGCGTTCCCTCTGATTACTATGATTGGCCTCTCGAAGCTCGTCGTGATGTTCTCGGTGCTGCATCCATTCATCATCTCTGCAAAAGCATCGTTCTGGTACCACTTTTGCTTTTATGTTTTTTAGATGATTAATTTTGCAATTGTAATTAGGACTTTAGTTATATATGCACTAACAGAGTAATGAAATTGTTTATACTGTCAAGTGTAATTTAACCTATTATATCATGTTACTTAGAAATAGTCACCTATAATTCCTCTCAAATGCCCTGTAAATACTTTTTAGATTGTTAGTGCATAGAATTTAAACCATTGTGTTCAAAGGCGCGCTTAAAGCGCACTTCAGCCCTGAACCGAGGCACAAAACATGTTGAGCGGTTCGCCTTGCTTAACGGGCGGTTCAATGTCGTCATTAATTCCCTAAGGCATACTTTTCCCTGCAAATGAGCGTAATCCAGAAGAGGCTACACTAAACAACTTATATTTCACTTTATCATATTTTTTTCCAATTTCTTTGTCCATATAGTATTTGTTAGTTATGCTTATAAATATTAGTCTTGGACTACACATATATATTTGTATTTCTTTTTCCATTTGCGCCTTTCTTTATTAAAGCGGTTTATTTTCGTTTTGTACTTAAAGCTCCTATGGACCTTAGCGCTTTTTGGTGCTTTTGATAACACTGATTTAAACTTTATATAAGGTCTTTGAGTGAGCACGTAGTTTAAGAAATTCATTTTAACTTATTCCCCCTATTCAATTTATGTGACATAGTGACTTTAGAAATTTGTGTTCTTAGACATGTCTTAACAGTTGTGTGGATATAAATTTTTTGAAATGCATGGTATTAAACATGCATCTTTCTTCTGGATTTCATGTTGTTCCTATTTTTCCTATGATTTATGTGGTGATATTGATATTGTCTCCTTTCGTCTTTTTGTCCTCTTGAGCCGAGGGTCTTTCGGAAACAGCCTCTCTACCTCACACTACCCTCCCAGACCCCACTAGTGGGATTTCACTGGGTTGTTGTTGTTGTTGTTGGTATTAAACATGGCATACAATTCGCGATTTTTGTTGCTATAAAAGCTTCTTGTTAAGGGTCAAATGGGAAGTGTGAAGTTAATTGTTTCCAAATATAAAAACGTGTCATTCTTTTTGGAATTCACTAATATGGAAATAGTGTCATATAAACTGGAAAGGAGAGGAGGGATTATGTATTTTGGTGGCTCTTTTTGATAGTATATAATAGTTGAAAAGTTAGCTTGTCAAGAAAAAATTACATCAAAATTTATTATTTGAGCAACTTAATGGATTTGAATCTTTAAAGTTGTGAAAGTTGGAGAGAAAGAAATGTTGTCAAATATTTATAACGTCCCAAAATGAAAACAATGTCATATAAATTGAAGCAGAGAGATTACTTTTAATATACTTAGTCTAAACAACTTTTCTATAAGTTGAATAGCAAAAGCATGAGGCTTCAATTCTCTGGTTTTGTTGACATGGTATCTTAGTTTAGGTTAACCTTGTTCTAGATGATGTGATGTTGGATGAGGGAATTTTTTAAAAAGGTGTTAATACACAATGGAGTGAAATCTGTTGACAAACGTACTTATGAAACCTCTCACGATGTATAACAATGGTACTTGAGAACGTAAGTGACTAAATTTAGAGAAGTATGATATTTGATTTATGTTTTTTGATATGTAAAGTTAATGTACTTCTGATGAAGCAACATATGCGAATATTTCCTCTCACTTCTATGAGAAACATAAACGACAGTAGGAAATACTGATTGAGGACCAAAAAGGCCTTATAATGTTACCACCCCTAAGAGCAAGAATAAAAACATGACCATGAGATTGCAGGTATGAACAAACAGATAAAGAAAAACCTTATACGGCTTCATGTGGCTATGAAAAATCCAACTTTGCTTCAGCATGGGGTGACGTGCTTCAGATATTTGTGCAGTGAGTGTAAAAGTTATTATTCATGACATTATCACTAAAAGAGATTGGATAATTCTGTAGTAAGTATTTTTAGATAATTTTCTTGGAGTTGTTCCTAGGATTATGGCCTTGTTGAGTTGAATTTGATCTTTTTATCCTTTTCCTCTTTCAGTTTAATTCCAAAGAACTGTGTAACTTTTCAAGTCATAACAATGAGCCTATGATTAGGAAGCTTATACTTGGCCACAATTATTATCAATATATGTAAAATTTGAATTAAGTTTGAACTGAATGGCCAAAGATCAGAAAAGTCATTATCCCCTTTTCAAAATGTGATCATTTTGGGGTATATTGGTGAGGGTCCTCTTGTATTTCTATTTCCTTGTGAACTTGTGAGAAACAGCCACAAAGATCTCAAACAAAACCTCATTGTACCTTTGCAGATCTATGCATGAAATTGTGGTGTTGAAAATGCTTATGATATCGGGTGCTCATTTTTTTCCGTTTTTCCTTTTGTGAATTGGTGTGTATATGTGTGGGGGTGGGATGTGGGGATAAGTAGATAATGGATGCTCCTTAACTTTGAATCATCTCAGTGTCTCTATGCATGAGGTTCTTTTCTATCTTAGTCAAATCCTGTCTGCTCAAATGCAGGTAAATACTCAAGCCCCATCTAATATTACTGATTGTAGTGATCGTAACAATTCAAAGTACTACGTTGTTGTCGTACAGGTAACTATTATACCACTTGATTTGGGTTTTGGGGTGCTAGAAACAGTATCTACCACTAACATAATGTGCTTCTTATATATTCTTGATTGCAGTATACTGCTCGATTCAATGCTGAGACTGTGAAGAATTTTCTGTACACTCTCAACGATGGCAAGATAGCCAAAAAGAAATTCAACAGTAAGTACCATCTCTAAGTTACTCAATACTTTCATCAGGTCTAGCAGTTAAAGTGATCAGCATGAGAATTAAATAGAGAAATATGCAGCTTTGAGAATCTTCACCATGTCTGAAAATGTCGAATTCGAAGTAATTAATTTTATTATAGTGAGAAAAAACTTCGCTGAAAGGTGGATATTAGCTGTGCAAGCTTTTGATGTATCAACCAGTGAGTCAACTCTGCCTCAAGCCCAAATTAATTGGGGTCGGCTATAGGAATCCACTATATCCATTCTCCTCTAGTTAGTCAGCTTTTGATGTATATATAAACAAAATCAAAAACCACAAATGAATCTGCATATATTGCATAAGTTTGTTGATTACAGTATATGTTTATGTCTTATTGAGTATAAAGAAGCAATCAATAGCCATAAATGAATGTGCATGTTTATATTGCATAAATTTGTTGATTAAAGTATATGTTTATGTCTTATTGAGTATAAAGAAGCAATCTTTTTGTCTTCCTCGGACCAGTCACATACTTTAGAAGCTTTTGCAACTCCACTTTAACCTTACAGCTTAAGAGAAAAGATTGAGAAATATTTCCAGAATTGAGATCCTTTATTTGAATGTCGACTTCTGTGTATTTAATGGTAAAAAATGAAAAGAGAGTTGGCCACTGCCAAGTGTACGTGTGTCAGACTTCGTGTGCTTGTTTCGTGAGTGATGACTTTAGCAATATTTTTGTCATATATGTTGTCTTGTTATGCGGTTTTACTATGGACTTCAGCATATTGGGTAGCCCAAGTGATGGAAGTAGGAATTGCCGGGCAGCATAATTGTCTCTCTCAAATTACAGCTTGTTGACTGATTCTTTCGTGGAAGCATGAAATTCAGGAATAAATTGTAATTCTAATGTTTGGATGATATGCTTAAAAGATCTCTTAATGGAAAGTTCTGGTGCGCTTCTTTATATGATCATTTTACTTTAACCAGCTAGATAAACTAGCATGAAATTCTGTTATCTCATCCCAGTAATGCTCTCTCAGCAACTGTAAAGTAGATTATTTATAATCACAATGAAATGATTCAGCCACCGGATACAAGACTAAGAAAACTGGAACAAATTATCCGCTCAGAGAACATCCAGCAAAGAACTGAAGTTATGACTTATGAGGTTGAGAGACATGATTTATGTGCCTTGCTGCTTATTATTACTCTTATCTTTTGGTTGTTGATGTCCAGACATATGCTCCAAGTTTATGAGTTCTGCCCATATCTGGTGTCACATTAAGTTGTCCGCTTCATGTAGAATAATAGTAGTATTATCTATTGGTTGCTTTTTGCAGTGAGGCTTGCTCCTGAGGAGATATCAGTGAAGCTGACTGGTTACGAACACAATGGAGTTACGTGTGTTGGCATGAAAACAGATATACAGGTATTCACTCTTGCTGCTGCTTTTAGAAATTTTTCTCGCAAGGCTGCCTAGATATTTTTTTTCCTAGACAGTGCTACTATCATGTTCATTGTGGTACTACTTGCATTGTAACTCGTACTAATTTTACCAGGTGATTTTGGATGAAGCAATTACAAAGCTCAACCCTGACTTCTTCTGGTTAGGAGGTGGTGAGATTGATCTTAAACTGGGGATGAGGACATCAGAATTCATCAAGTTTGTCCAACCATTTATTGTCAACTGTAGCAATGCTTAAACTGACCCCGTTCTCACAAAGTTAGTGCCAGTAGGAAATTCCTTAAATTTTTTGCTGGTTAAATTTGATTTCTTAAGTTTCATCACATGATTGTAGTTTCTTGATAGATAGGTCTCATTGAATTTGAATTTTAAACTTGTATCAATAATCTCTATTGGTTAACCTCTTTAAATTTGTCATGCAATGGACAATATACCATTTCCTGCTGGATAAAGTAGATTATGAAGTTCTATTCAAGCAAAAGGAGGGTTACTCTGAAGCATACATGTTCAAGGGAGAGAATCTGCACTGGTTAGTAGTACTTTTCCTTGGCTTGAATTACTCAAGTTCTTTAACAAAATAAGAAAGTAAAAGTCTGAGATGAACATTTAAATTAAAATTACGAGAACTTGGGTTTTGGCATTTGTACTGGCACTTTGTTAATTTGAGTAATTAACATACCAATATCAATAAAAATGCTAATTCTACTGGTCATTTTGATTAGTAACATAATTTTAAAACATATACTCCCTCCGCTTCAATTTATATGACACACTTTCTTTATTAGTCCATTAAAAAAAGAATGATATAGCATCCAAGGGTGTGACCTAGTAGTCAATGAAGTGGGTGAGAACCATGATGTCTCAGGTTCAAATCCCAGCGGAGGCAAATACTAGGTGATTTCTTCCCATCTATCCAAGTCTTGGTGGATAGAGTTACCTGATACCTCTTGTAAAGTTTATAGAGAATGTTTTTGATAGACCGGGTCTCATGGAAAGCACGATAACAACGAAGCAATATGATAACTAAAGCACAAGAAACAACATGGAATGAAAGAATTCTAAGAATAAGAATATACAAGAATAATACTAATGTTACTTGTATTGAAAAAAAATAACAATTGGAAAAAAATAGTACTCCTATTATTATTAAAAAGAGAGGAAAAAGCCTCTACATTAAGCCAAGTGGCCTATTGTGTTGTTAAGAAAAAGTTTCAGTAGTAAGAAAAATAAATAAATAATAAATATATATATA